ACTCTATTTAAAACGCATTTAAAACTAAACGACGAAATGGTGGTCGCCGACAAACGTAGGCATCTGATAGTCTCCACGGCGGGGAACTTCTTCAGCGCGTCCGTGCAACACGACGACGAGGACATCGAGGATCGCGAGATCCTCGATCGCTTCCTGGAGCAGTCCTCGTGCAGAACTCTATGCGCCAGACCGGTCGACACCGATCGGAATCAAGTCCGCTTGAAATTGAGCACCGAATTGCCCGCCGGTATAAGAAACACATTGGTCTTCTTTAAGGTAGAGACCCTTCTTTGCAAAAAAAAGTTTTAATCATGAAAATTGATGAATGAATGGAGGAGATTAACAAATAAGGAAAAGGCTTTTATCGATGAGATACATTTATTGATTTGCCTTTCTTGACATCTGCTTAATCCGTTCTTCCTTACATTTCTCTTACAGTCAGTTACCGTTTCTAATCACCGTCATGTTGACTGACGAGTGTGACTCTTTCTTGACAATAGAAAGCATTTTCTAGAAAGTCGCGATTTAACATGCTATTTACATATGCTGATGGTGCGAAAATTTGTGCAGGTGACAGCGGCGACGGTAACGGAAGAGAACTTTCACGACGTGGTCCAGGTGGCTTCCACTGGCTGCGGGGATGGATCGGTACTGATCGAGGGTCTTCGTCAGGTATGGGCGCCGACTCTTCGCTCGTCTGGTTTAAGTACGTCTTGTTTGAAGAAATTGGAGGAGGGACTACTCAACTCCGGATTTTCGACTACCGTTGCGGAGGAAGAGGAATTCTGGAAGCGGAAAAGGGATGAAGCCAAACGGTCGCACGAGAGAACGAATTGCGAGGAAGCTGCCAAGACTGTGAAGAACATCAAACTTGAACTCGAAAGCGCCGCGGTGTCAAGGTGGACATTTTACTGTCTTAAAGGGCTGTCTACAATGGGAGTAATATGTATAGTAATGCCTGTTTCTACTAATGTAAATTAATTTAGACTTTAATCTCAGTTCAGCTTACTCTTCATCTTTTTCTAATTCTTAGACCGATATTCATAGTTGATTCTTACATTAAGACCGTCTTAAGTACAATATTATAATATCATAAGTTAATCACAGAGCCGTATTAACACCTTAAGACATTACTTAAAATGATTTTGAAATAAGAATGGATTATGAATACCGATCTTAAAATTAAAAAAAGATGAAGAGTTAGTTGTACCGAGATTAAAATTAAACTACGTTGATAGAAACGAACATATAAATCATAAGTAAGAAATCGACTAATCGTAATCAAATATGAAGAGAATAATTGACTATGATTGGTCAATTTCTTATGCTTATACGATTTACTACATAATAAATTCCATTGTAAATGGCCCATTACTGTTTTATACAATTACTATCTTCCGTTTCTTTTACAGAGATGAATTGATCGCTGTAGAAGAAGCTTGTGAAGCTATTTCTGTATTCGTGGATGATTTATGGAAGTTAGGGGGACCAGTGTATACCGAGGAACGAATGAAATCGTTTCTCGATGTAATTGGAAACGAAGTGGTTCAGCTGATACAAAATTATCTCGATGCGGTACGTTAACTATAATTTCCAGCCTTAAATTATCCATAATCAACTACAGATTCAAGACGTTTCGAGGGCGCATTCATAAATTGTCAAAAAGTTTTCGTCTATAAACATCTAAAGTAATAAAAACATCGTTTATGAAAACATTGATATTTTTATTAATAAATAAAATTTAATTTGAAAAGTGTCAAAGAAACGTTTACATAGAAAAAAATTTTATTGAAGTACCTAAAAATTTAGTTAGATACAGATCTGAAAATAATTTTGTTGAACTATCAAAATAATTATGTAGGAGCTGGTTGTTAGAATTTCAGAATTTTTTGTAGCGTTAATTGTCATGATATGCTTAAGTTTCTTATATAATTATTTTGATGGTTCAATAAAATTATTTTTAGATCTGTATCTACCTAAATTTTTAGATGCTTCAGTAAAATTATTCTTTCTGTATATCTATCATTTGATTCAGTAACTCTATTAAGTGACCGTTTTTTCATGCATGCGATGTTTTATGGAATGTAATTCGTTAGGTCGACACGACCGATATTCGCGCAAAGGATGAAACAATCGCATTCGGAGCGACAGTATGCGAAAAGTGGGTGAACGCAACGCAGAAACTAACGGAGTTTTTCTGGCCGCATCATTCGCTCCATCCTTGGCGCGGACCGATCTTCGTACCCGAGAAATGCTCGAAGCTCGGCAGAAACCTCAGGTAGGCGTTAATGCATACGAAACAGTATGGAATGTAATAATAACGTAGTTGCAATTTTCTAGGCAGATGTCCGAGTTACGTGCGCAGCATCGTCAATTGAGTAAACTTCTGACTCCGAGTGAGAGATCTGGACTCGGTATCGAGAAATTGCTCCAAACGTTTGATGATACGAGAGGTACATTGGAAGCAATTTTGTTTCAGAAATATTTTATGTATAATAGTTTTCTGATGAATTATTGATTATTCTTACATGAAGGAACTACAAAGTAATCAATTGGTTTTTGTCTTTAAAAGTTGCAGATAATATTAGAATTAAAATTGACAAAGCAGTTTTTGCACTTGCAATTTTTCATAAATTGTTTAATAAATAATAATTGAAATAATTAGAAATGAACACTATGATTTAATAAATTATTAAATAGTACACACATAACGTATAAATTAACCATATTTTAAATAAATAAATGTTAATAATTACAACTCTTGTCAGTTGCTCTGGGCAATGATGAATGGGACAATGAATGGAACAGATTAAGGCGTAAGATCGAGGACGGCTTGATACCAGCCGAAGAACGCGTTGCTCAGAAACTGAAGGATCATATTGCTGATGCTGATACTCCAAGTGCTCTTGTAGCCGAATTCGAGAGATACAGCGAACTGATGAAGAGGGAAGGGCTTAAGAGAGCCTTACGCGGAGAACGAGAGTCTCTGCTTGCAGCATATCGTGATCTAATCGGTAGAGTGATCTAATCGCTCTCTTGAACTAAAATGTTCTTCATACCTCTTAGCCATATAAATACGTCAAAAATAAAAAAAGAAAAAGGAAAGCAAAGAATTTGTGTATATTTTTTTCTTCTTTTTACAATTTTTCATTATAAATTGATTACTGATATTATTGATATTCCTTACAAATTTTTTTTCTTTGACACTATAATCGAGCCCAGTAAACGAGAATGGATTGAAATGGATTGAAATGGATTCAGATTTTCAGAAATATAGATTCACGAATGTGTTAAAATGAATGCTTTTCAATCCTGAATACATTTTTATTCATTTATAGGAATTGCATGGAGCATATCTCTATGCCTTTCAATCTAAAAATAATATCAGCTTTTTCTGTGCATTATGAATACTATTCAATTCAAAATCTTGAATAGGAAATGCAGTTTTTCAATCCAATTGCATCTAATTGCATCTGCAATCCAATTGAATCCAATTAAATCCAAAAAAAGTATTCGCTATTTAAAATACGCATTCGGATAGAAAAAAATTTCAATCCATTTTAATTCATTCTCGTCTACTGGGCTAGGATAAAAGACGATAGATATTGAAAACGTTAATTCATACAATTCAAATTTGTTTTCATTAATTAATTAAATTTTTTTTTAATATGCGGGATTCTAGAAAATCGTTTAGCTGGTCCCGACACGGAATATCTTCTGGATGCTCCCAAAGTGCTACAAGAGATTCAAACCGCTAGATCTGCGGAGGTACGGCTCGAGAGTTTAGCTAAATTAGGGAAAATGATCTTCCGGGGTACGAAGAAGTGGCAGAGCGTTTGTCAAGCGCGCTGAAAGAAGCCGAAGAGAAAAGACGGGATTTGGTTGAGTCATGGGTAACTTTTAATTAGATATCTTTAATACAAGATATTTCTCTAAAATCATTTTAAAATTAGACGAATTTTATAATCTCATATTATGTATCTTTAGAAAGTTTAGTAATGCGTTTTTATTTGCAGATAAACACCACCAAGAACGATATAACCAAGAAGGATTTAAGCTTAGGCACCGATTCGCCGGTGGTTGAACTTACTGGCACTAGCATGATGCGAGTGACCTACGATCCTCGATTGATGACCCTGATCAGAGAAGCCAGAGCACTATCTGGCGAAGGCGTCGAATTACCGAGGGAGATTAGGGAGCTGGTAGATAGAGCCTCGTCTTTAGCAGGACGAGCCAGAGCTCTTCAGCAGGTCGCTACATTCCACAATACGATTGGCGATCGAATGGTGCCTTCCCAGAGACCGCTTATGTTGACGATAGCTCTCGAATTAGCCCGAGCTGTTCAGGAACAGTCGGGTATCGTTTGGTCTGACCCTCATCTCGTCGACGTGTATACCGCTAGATTGAAAGAATTGGTAAGAAAGGACCGTGTGTTATTTAGATTAATATTGCAAGTTGATGAAATTTATGACATAATATATTTTGTGCAGGTAGTGAAGTTTGCCCGACAAAACTCGGAATTGATTTCAAAGCACTCTACTTTGCGAGATTATGTATCGGGTTTGTTGAAAGGAGATGCTGTGCACCTTGTCGGAAATCAAAACGTATGGAAAGAAACGTTGACAAACATGAGGGCAATTGTCGACGCGGTGGATTCAGAACATGGTAATGCGAGAGCTTGGAAGCTGCATTGGGATCGACAACTCTTGAAGGCGTTGGGCGTAGCATACAGGTATAACCATGCGAAAAAATTCAAAAGAGATCTAAAAACATCCGAAACTTTTGATCATAATAAAGTGTTGTGTACCTATAGATAGTTAATTACATGAAATTTGTTAACAATACTGATGTTTTTTTGAAAATAATTAGTTTAAAATATGTTACGTTATGTTTATTGCTCATCTTTCCCAGGAATGCCTTGCCATCTTTGTCGAGGAAGCTATCCGAGATTCGAGTGGAGCTCACTTTTCGGGATGGATCTTTACAATGGAGACCGCCACTCGAGGATGTTCGCGCAAAATTATACTCCGGTATACGTCGATCACTTTCTATTCCTGTGAATTTTAGAGGTGTCGGAGACGTCGCCGATGCACGCTTCGGTGATTTAGTGCAAAAAAACGCGTATCTATTCAGTGGCGTTTACAAACAAGTTGAAATCGTCCTGTCCACTCTCGAATTATTTAGGACCAAATGGTTAAATCTAGCAACACCGGCCAATATCGACGTTGGTGAACGGTAAAATTAAAAAATATATAATATACTATAATATTTTATGTCAGAAATTACTGCAAATAAGATTCTATTAATTTTTTATAGAAAAAATTGATTAAAACAGGATCAGTAAATGAGTTAATAAGTTAAAAAGAATTTGTATTAATATATACTCGTATTATACATCTATATCGGTCTATAATTTTTTAGATTGAAAGGTAAACCTCCTCAAGAATGGGCGAAAGCTTTTAAGGAGGCTAAACAGTGGGCTCAAGAGGTAAGTCTCATGTTACATAGGAATGAAACAGAAAATATATATTATATAATAAATTATTAATATGGCTCAATCAGAATAAATCAATAAAAGAAGGGCTACGAGCCAGTTACAATATAAAGAATATTTAATATTCGTACAAACGTCGTTTCGACGCCGATCGGGTCATTTTCAATGTAAACGCAAATAACATTACATAAGTTGTCGGAGTATTCGGTCAGATTACAGATTACTCCGACAACTTATGTAATGTTATTTGCGTTTACATTGAAAATGACCCGATCGGCGTCGAAACGACGTTTGTACGAATATTAAATATTCTTTATATTCTAACTGGCTCGCAATAGCCCTTCTTTTTTTATTGATATATAATATTATATACTTATAAATAAGTAAAAACAATAAATATATCAGTTTCCAAGATTTAATTTTTGATTACTCTGACATGCATCTCGTTTCTTATTTATGAATAGCTTTTTAATTCGTTTTCGTATTAAACATTTGTAATAAATTTCATAACATATTGATTTAACTAAATAATGGTGTGTATGTTTAATTTTTGCCGAGATAGGTTGGAAAATTACGCGGATGCGAAGTAAAAATCTCGTGTATATGCATCGACACAGCGACGACGAGAAATGATTTGGAAATCGCATCTCGTCATTATTGGGAACGGCTGAGTTCTGATCTGAGAGTGGAAGCATCCTCACGTCTGGTGGCTATCGTAGACTTCCTGTCCTTCGCATCCAAAGAGCTCGAACGTAGGCCGCGTGATGTAGAAGAGGTCGGATTAGCTCATGAGGCTCATGCACGTATTGAGCAACAATCAGCAGGAATCGCCGAGGAGAGTGCTCGCCAAAGTTATGGCCGCGTGGACCAGTGAGAAGCTCGACGGTAACGTTCTCGCCAAATAAGATTGTCGTATAATTTCTCCAAGAGAATCTATTTTCCGCAAATTTATTGCAAATAAAAATACAAACTGAGCTTTCGTTTTGTATGTTTTTTTTCTGCAGGCGTCAACGTGGCTCACGCCGCTTTGCAGGATTTGGGGGATCGTTTGGAAAAGCATAAGGCTGTTATGACGCGTCTGTTGGAGGACGCTAAAGTTAATCTTCGTCACAGGGCGATAGCACTAAGGGACGAAAGAGAAAGATGGCAAGTCAAGTGGTCAGCGAGATCGGAGAATCTCACTCTCGATTGGTTGGTGTCAATGAAGGAACGTTGGCTCAATCTAAACGGGCAGCTAGATTCTTTGAAAGCGGACTGCAAGAGAATATCCCTGGATCTCGAAAATGTTGTGGAGGACGGTGACATTAATCTATCACAAGTGGAACGTGAATTGGAAACTGAAGAATCAAATTACAGGTTTCTTTTATAACCGAAGACCTTTTTTATGAAACTAGAAACTTTTAGAAATTTTTTTGTTTCCGTTTCCAACATGCGCGGAGAGAATTTTTTCTTAGAGTTTATTCTGAAATTGTATTTTGAAGAATTTTAATGTAAATCTCTCTCATTCATTGATAAAACTATAATAAAGTATAAATAAGTTTGATTAATTTTACTGAAATGCATGGTAAAAATCTTTAAAATATTGTATTGTACTACAACTATCATATTTTCGGGGTAAATTTTAAAAGAAAATTCTCTCCGTGTATGTATCAAAAGAACTATTTTTTATTATGGTATTTTTAACGAGAGATAAATTAATTATTGTATCAAACACAATCGTAGATTCCAATCTGAGTTTTTGGAAGAGTTGAAAAATCAAGAAACCGAGGAGTGGGCCGTAGCTAGAAGAAGATTACCGAGACTCCATGATTGGCTCGATTCCTGGGAGAATAAGATTCGATTGCATGACAATATGGAAATCGATACCTTCGTCGGTAAAAAGATAAAGGAAGTTAGATCTGCGATCGAATCCATCCAGCCGCTTCGAGGAGATGAAATCGCCGACGAGCACTGGACTGAATTAATTCCTATACTGGGCCTGAAAGTCGAAAATCCACGGAGTATCACTTTAGGTCACTTGCTTGCTTGTATAGAAGCGCTGAAGGAGAATGAGGATCGAATAAAAGTGAGAACTTGCAATTTTAAAATGATTTGTTTGAAAAAAGGGGCGATAATTTTAAATATTTCAATATTTACAATATTCAATTTTTCTTATAAAAGAGGTCTTATTTAATGAAAAGTATGTTTGTCTTGTAAAAAAATTATTAAAAATAATAGACTTTAGTAAGACTTTAGTAAGACAACTTGGATATAAAGCCGTATACATTTACATACATATACCGTATATAGTTCTCAAATTGTCACAAACGCGACATATATATTTCAGGAAATAACGAAACGAGCAGTCGCGGAGAGCGGGATCCGACAAGCATTAATAGACTTGGAGGTTTGGGAAAGCACGGCGTCACTTCCGTTACAGGAATCAACCGATAGCAAGAATATGATGATCTTACTCGTCGGAGATTACGGCGGTCTCTTAGCAAAAATAGGTATCGCGCATTTATATTTATTATTATTGACTGTTTGGTTTTTGTTAGGTTTATAATCTATTAATTTTAATTCAAATTATAAATCGTTTACAGAGGAATTGAGACTCTTACTTGAAGGAGCGAAAGGCACTTCAGGACACGACAGATTTGCGTCTAGAGCTGCGCGCTGCGAGGCGGCCTTATCAGAGCTCGAAGAAAGAATTAAGGCACTCAGTAATGTTCAAAGGAAGTGGATCTATTTGGACCCGGTTTACGGAAGTGGAGCGGCTCCTAATGACTCTGGGAAATGGCCCAGAGCCGATAAGGAATTTAGGTCTGTTAAATTATATTAATTTGATTTAATTCTTCTACACACTTTTTCTTTCATTCATTTATTCAAATTGATATCTTCGCAAATTTTTAGATATCTCATAGGGGAGGTATCCCGAGATCCCAGAGTACCGTCCCTGAGGCAACTTTCATTACCAGCTTTAATAAGTTTAAAGGATCTGTTAGACAGATGTCAGAAATGTCTGGATGAATTTTTAGAGGTGAAATATGACATTTAACTGAAAAATAGCTATTTTTTTTATGAGAAAAAAATTATATTTTATCACCTGTCAACCACTATAATGACAAAAATCTTAATTATAGGAGAAACGAGCAGCTTATCCGAGATTGTACTTTCTTAGCGATGAAGACCTTCTGGAATTGGTATCGGGCAGTGGAAGAGGTTTGGAGGCTCATTTACCGAAATTATATCACGGTATTGGTTCAGTAGTAAAGGAGAATAATTCGTTAACGGCGATTGTGTCGCCCGAGAGAGAAGTATTAAAGTTACCTAAGGCCGTCGATCTCACTGAACCTCTACCTCGTTGGCTACATAATCTCGAAAAGGGAATAAGAAATGCGCTCTGTCAGAGTTTGGAAAAGTGTTTGAACGACTCCACACCCGATCCGTCCGTTTATCCAACACAGATATTGCTACTGTCGGAAAGAATAGGATTTACCGAACGCTGCGAACGTGCTCTGAAAGAAGGTCGCGCGACTCTGCAGAAGCTTGTCGAATATCTGGAAACACAAAGAGCAAGATACAGAGGACTGGAAGACGCTGGTGACAAGTTAACTGCGCTGAAAGCGCGTGGGCTTCTTCTGGATACTGTTCATCATCTGCAAGTTGCTCGAACACTGTTAAAGATCGTGATAACAGGCGAGAATGCTAGCTGGACATGGCACAAACAATTGAGAAGTTACAAAATTGTGAGTTTTGGAAAAAAAATACATTCTTATCTCGATAATTGAGAATTAAGTCTGTAGCGAAACGATATTTTTTATTCTTTAAAACGCATTCTAAAATCTTAAACAATAAATTTTTAAATAAACATTTTTAATATTTTGTTAACTTTATTATTACATTACTGTCGTACTTTTAAGAATCAAGATAAGTACGTAGTAAGATGCGCTGGTGCGGAATTACCGTATCGCTTTGAGTATCAAGGAGCATCCATTGGCTTGGTGAGAACTCCCTTAACAGAGAAGTGTTTCTTAGCTCTCACGCAAGCTATGAAGCTTGGATTGGGTGGGAGCCCAACTGGTCCCGCTGGAACCGGAAAAACCGAAAGTGTCAAAGCTCTAGCATCTGTTTTGGGTAGACTAGTCCTCGTCTTCAATTGTGATGAAGGTAAGGCATCTATTTCTCCATTGTTGCGGCAGACAATTGTCACATTAGATTAAGATAGATTTACTATTAATTATACGTGAAATTAAAACATCCATTGCGAAATGTAGGAATGGACACTGGCAGCATGAAGCGTATCTTAGGCGGCTTGGCGCAAGCTGGTGCTTGGGGTTGTTTCGATGAATTCAATCGTCTTGAGGAAGACACTTTGAGTGCAGTATCGATGTTGGTAAGGCCGCTTCAAGAGGCGTTACGGGACGGCTCGTCCGAGATTTTGTTGGGCGATCAGAAGATCAAGCTAGATCCTCATTGTTGCATTTTTATCACGATGAATCCGGCCGGAAGCGAGTATGGTGGCAGGCGTAAGCTGCCGGATTCTTTAGCACGACTTTTTAGGCCTATCAGCATGGCGCATCCGGACAAATCGGACATTGCCAAAACTCTGTTGGAGTGCGCCGGTTTCTTAGAAGCGACCACTCTCGGCAAACGATTGGTAGAGGCTCTTGAAATTGCCGGGACCATACTTTCCGAGCAACCGCATTATGATTGGGGGCTCAGGGCGCTTAAATCTGTACTCAACGACCTGCGTCCGATCGCCAATGTTGATGAGACCACCAGGTACGTTCACGTTTGTTTTTAAATTAGTGTATACTGAAAGAGAAAATTTTACTAGATATAACATTAAAAATCGATCTTCGTCTTATTAACGCAATATTATTTTTATGAGATAATTAGAAGGTAGATAAGAATCGTTTTTGATAGAATTAAGAGAGATTTTTATTAAGATCTTTAAAAATGTGCAACGAAAAACTTTGTTTTTTTTTTAAATTATATTGAGAGATTTGATGAAAATATTTTTTATTCTTTGGTAGACTTCTTGTCTCGATCAGGGCATCGACTCTTCCGAAATTAACGGAGGCAGATACGACAAAATTTCTGTCGTTGTTAGACGATCTCTTTCCGAAAGCTAATCTCCCTTTGTCGGTCTCCACTGAAAGCGAAGACCTGGTTGTCGCATTGTTGAAAGTCTGCGAAACTCGGGGTTTGACGAAAGAGATCACCAACAGATGCATTCAACTGAATGACCTGTTAAAGAGCAGGACTGGTGTTGCCATAGTCGGCCCACCGGGTAGTGGAAAATCTTCGATCAGGTCATGTTTGACTGAAGCGTTGGCGAAAATTGGTGTACCCATACAACAGGTTATTGTTTATCCTGGAGCGATACCAAAGAGCAAATTATTAGGTCACGTAAATCCGCGAACGAGGTAAACAGTCTTTTATAATTTTATTATTTCTCATATAATTCAAACGCGTTGGATATTGAAATTGTACAAATAATCGCATAAACAGGGAATGGAAGGAGGGTGTTTTGTCGAGCGCGGTAACGTCCGCTGGGAATTCCGCGACCTGGATCATCTTTAATGGAGATGTGGAACCTGAATGGGCAGAGGCGTTGAATTCAGCCCTAGATGATAATCGACTGCTAACTTTACCCAATGGAATAGGAATTAAGCTTGGTAGCGGTACAAGGTACAAATTTCGTTAATTAAAATAAAATTATATTTGACTTCAAGAGAGAATAAATGTATTGGAATTTGGAATCATTAATTAGATCTATGACAACATTCGTAATGCGTATAGTGGCAAAATCTACCAAATTCTAATTATATAAGCAATATTAAGAATCTTTATTTTTTAGACCCCATATTTGAGAACACAATCAATACTAGAAATTAAAAATTTCTATAACAATCGAAGCTATATCTTTAATGCTTAAATAATTTAATTTTGAATTACTGTATATACTATATATATATATACCTACATATATACCATATTTGTAGCCTTTCCAACTGTGCGTCGAATTGTTTTTCCGGACTATAAACGCAATTAAACTACTGTAGTAATCTCGCGAATTAAATTGACAAGCAATTTTAATAATTTTGATGCTCAATCAAGCATTATATTATAAAGATGTTAATATACTGAAAAACTGTAATTAAATTTATTGCGAAAAAATATTACCTACCGAACTCCCGGCCGAGGTAATATAATATTTTTAGAGTTTAATTATATACATAAAAAATTAATTAATTTATAAACTCTATGTTTTTGTGACATTTAATTACTTGACTATATTTACATGTTGCTCGTAAAAAAAGGTTTATTTTCGAGACCCATAAACTCGCCGATGCCAGTCCAGCTACGGTTTCGCGATTGGGCGTTTTGCATCTTGGCTCGACGAGACCGACATCTTTATTGGTGCCGTGGCGTTTAGAGCAACTCTCGTCAACTGCTGCGGAAATTGCAAATACCCATTTATGTTCGTGCCTTGATGAAACTTTAAAGATAAACGTTAATAGTTCCTCCGCATCCGGTCTGATGGCCGCCACATTGTATCATCTTCGTAAAGCGCAGACATTCGCTCAGGCCACTCAAGCTCTTCTGGTCTCATTATGCGGCCAAGTGGAGAATGCACAATCCAAAAACGATTTGGCGAAATTTATTTACGGATCAACCGAAAGCTGGTGAGTGTTCTGCAGGGACTAAATCTTCTTAAAATAATAGGCTGGATTATTATTATGCCGTATTTATCGCTTATAAAATTATTTTTCAGGTGTCCTGATCCACAAAAGCCAAGTGCGGTCCTTTACGATTCCGAAACCGATCGATTGGTACCTTTCAGTGATACATATGAATCTGTTGATACTGATTATGGACCGATCTCAATTTCAGGTATTGTTAATTAAAAAATCTAGTTTTTAAAACGTTAAAGTTTTAAGATCTTTAAAAGGGATATAGATTATTTATATATTTTATGTAGATCGCATCAAGAAAGCATTAGCAGCTATTTTGCCCTGGATAGAAGATGGCCATCCGATTATGATTCGTGGACTTGAAGCTTGCGGTAAAAATGCTTTGATCGACGTTGCGTTGGCAAGAATAAAAAATCAGGATGCCATGACCGTGGTGCGAGGATCTTCGCTTTACGGTCCTAACAATCTCCTGAATCGTTTGAAGAAGGCTTGCTTACGTTTGGAGTCTTCTTCGCAAGGTAGGACGTATAAGCCGAGAAGCGGATCTCGAATGCTTCTTATCTTGGAAGATATACATCTCGCCGCTAAAGACTTACAGGTATAATCCCAAACGAGTTTCCTCTCTAATTTTTCAAACTATTGTTGTTTTAACTATTGAGTTTGCAAATAACATAAATTTTTTTCGAAAACAATCATTATGTTAAGAAAATTCTAATAAAAAAAGATTGTAACAAGATGCTAATGAGATCAAATTATCTTTAGGAATTGGTGAGGGAATTGCTTCAAGAGGAAGGTTTTTTTGAGGAGGATCTCGAATTTTCTAAAATATCCGTAACAATTATATGTACTGCCGACGTGAATACTCGATTACATCCGAGACTTGAAGCTTTATTTGCAACTTATTATTTAGAGTGAGTAATTTCTCTACAGAAAAAATATAAATTAGAATGAAGTTAGATTTGAAAGAAATTCGTTTAAAATTAATTTTTAATTTCATACAAGTATATAAATTACAAGTATATAAATTTAATTTTCTGAATTTTTAAAAATTAAAAAGCAAATTATAGAAATTAAAAATTAGAAATTTTTAATGTAATAACATAAATTTTAGTTATTAATTTTCTTTAATTTATGCACATTCTTAACAAGATTAGTAATAAATTTTGAACAAAATCTTAAGACTTTAGATAAAATATTTCTGCAATAGATATCCAAGTCAAAAGGATGTCGCAGCCATTCTGGAACTTCATTTGAGAACTTCTTTGAAAGAAGTTGACTTTGTCATAGCGGAGTCTTGGATCGCCCGAATAAAGCCTAGTATTTTGGATGCTTTCCGATCTATAAGTTCCACTCAGGAATCTTCTTTTACCTGGACTCTTAAGGATATTGTTTTGTGGGCAAAACTCTTGAAACATTATCCTACTCCCGAAAACGAAGCGTACATCACTCATTACTTGTTAGACATTGGACAACGTCTATTTCGTGCGAGGTATTGTTCTAAAATCATAATACTCTATAAAAAAATAATTTGCTAAAGGCATATCATTCTTTTATGTATAGGGGAGACCGGGGCTAAACTGGCATTTGAATTTTGAGTGGCAAAAATATATCTTATGAGTTCCCAATTTATATTGTAAATAGCATCTCGTGTATTTTCTTTACCAACGAAGTTTGGTTAGTGTAAGGGCCGTGTTGTTATGTTTAAGTAGTCAAACGTGTTTCCGATAGTTAAAAGTAATTTTTGAGATTTCATTTTTCGAATCACATCATTTTTTGTGTATATAGATGAAATGAAGTTGCAAACACCAAAACTTTTTATTACCATCTTGTAGTCTTATAATCACTCTATATCAAATGCTAATAATTATTCGATTAAAATCATTAACTTTGTTACTGAAAATTGCAATTAAAAAAAAAAGGTGCCCATTTAGCTCCGGTCTCCCCTATATTTAAATTAAATTTTTAAGAAAGTTAAATTATGTTTAAACAAAAGTGAATTTAATATCTTAATTATTTAAACTTTTCTTTCTTGATAAATAATAGTATCGGGTTTCATTGTATTTATTAATCTTACAGATTAACGCCCAAGGCGCTGACACGGTGGGAATCTCTGCTAATTTCGAAAGATTCCGAGGTAAAAGATTTCAACAATGATGTATATGCGTGGAAGAGCGCGAATATTGGATTGTATCCTTTAAGTGAGGAGCAATGGCGAGAAGAAATAATTAACGCAGCGGCCAGATGTGCTAGAGAGGGTCAACCAGTGCAAGCATCGATTTCATCTTATCTTCTGGAAATCATAGCTGGTGTGTACCTAATTAACTTAATAGATAAGAAGAAGGTTGGCATTTATACAACAATGTTAAATATTTCGTTAGGACTGAGTTGGGCTATTGGATGTGATTTTCGTGGTATGGTTCTCATTGGACGGCCTGGAGCAGGCAGGAGGTCAGCAGTTAAATTGGTTGCAACATTTTCTTCCTTACGACTTATTGATTCAGGACCTGGTACTGTAAGATAAACTATAATCTGTAGAATCATAATCTATCTATTATTGTATTTTGTTTTTTGGAATTCCGTCATATCCGTCAATTGTTTCTTAGAACGCGGTAAAGTGGCGGTAAAGAACGCTGTGCAGGCAGCGGGGATCGAAAATCAACCGACTTTGCTCCTGCTGGAGGAACATCATGTTAGGGAAGAAAGTTTAGCCGTAATGGTGAGCGCCATAGTATCCAAAGGGGAAGTTCCAGGACTTTATGCGGCGGAAGAGCTTGACGCGTTGGTTGCATCGCTCGCCGATTTGGCTCGAAGGGAAGATTTTCAAGGGACGCTGGAGCAATATTTGTATCATCGTACGTATACTCAAAATCTTACTTAACGCTAGATAAATTAATTCATAGCGTTTTTTCTGAAAGAATTTATAAAGTTTGCGTTTATATATTATAGTGATAGACCTTTTTCAGAGAATTAAAAGTTGCTTTTTATAAATAACTATTTAATTAATCATTACTGAGTCAAAATAGTAACTCGTTACTGTTACCGTTACTTAGAAAGTAACAATTCGTTATTTTTTTGTTACTTTTTTAATGATGAAATAAGATTAGTCTGAAAAATATTGTAATATTTTTTTGTTTAAATATTAATAAAAGCGATAAACAACAGTGGCATTAGATTGATATGTGAAAACATAATTAACAATAAAAAGCGAAATGATTTTTTGGTTCAAGCGAAAGCTTTGTACATACATAATAATATTTCAGAGCGAATATATGTATATATACATATATATATATATACATGACAAGTCCACAATCCACGCGCCGATTAAATTTTCACTCTTGAAACACAATCCGATTAACAAGAGATTTTCCATTAGCAAAAAAAGTAATTTGTAACAATAAAAGCATTACGAGTAAAGCGCGTTATTTCTATTCTCTGATTTTTTGCTATTTTTTGTCTTATCATACAATGTATATAGTGACTGGTTGATTTCACAGGCTTGCGCAAATACCTCCGAATAGTGGTGATCTTGGATTCAGAAGAGATCGAATCGTCGTCACTGCTACGTCTCGGCCTCCTTCGACATTGCGCGCTGCTTGGATCTGGACCTGGTGGTCCTGATGAGTGGTGGTCCCGAGAAAGCTCGCTGATCAAATTAGCAATTCAGGAGGATACTTTGCAATTGGACGAACTTGAGGAGCTATCAAACTGCGCGAAGGTCATAATCGGAGCTCATCTTCAAGCTCCTCGTTATCAAAGGGCCCCGGCGCGATTCTTCGCTCTAGTGCATACCTGGAGATACCTTCGCGACACGTGGAGTAAGGAGGTCGAAGAGAAGCTGCGATCTCTTGAAGCTGGTATTAGCAAGCTAAGAGAAGCCGGCGATCAGGTGGCTAAGCTGGAGGATGAAGTGTCCAGACAACGCCAAGAACTTGAGGTACGCAATAACATTACTATGTAATTGTAAATTTTTAAATTCTATTTTACAGCACTGCAATTACATAAAATTCTGCTTAAAGGTGGAAAAGGGAAGAGCCAATGCAGCTCTTGAACAAATCACTGCTACAATGAGAGGTGCGACCACTCAAAGGGGAGAAATGACAAGTTTGAAGGCTAATACAGAACGCGAAAGTGCCGAACTCGCACGGCGTAAGGTAATATCATTTTTCTCTGTTATCCATCGTTATTAATACGAAGAACTGAAGTATAAGAGTCATAGAGATAGCGCAACGTGTCTGCGTCAATGCAATGCATATACAAAAGTACCAACATACATATATTGATTTTATTGTTTGTGTAGGCGGACATAGAGAGTGAATTAGGAAAGGTTGAGCCTCTGGTAGCGCAAGCTGCTCAGGCTGTGGCTGGTATAAGTGCCGATGCATTGGCTGAAGTTCGTTCGTTGAGAGCACCGCCAGCGCCGGTGAGGGATGTGCTCGAAGGTGTTCTTCGGCTGATGGGCATAAAGGATACATCTTGGAACAGCATGAAGACTTTCCTCGCCAAGCGAGGTGTCAAGGACGAAATCAGGTAAACAATTATTGGCTCAATCTCGTTAATTCAACATTAATTATTTAATTAATTTTTTATTCTTTTTAACTATTTGCTTAATTTTATGACAAACTAAAATTCTTTCTTCTCTACTTTTCTCTTTGCAATTTAACGCGTAGAAATTGGGACGCAAGACGTAGTACGCCTGCGAGTTTAGAAGCTGTTTCCAAATTGATAAAAGAACGTCCGGACAGCTTCGAAGAGAAAACCGCAAAGAGAGCATCGGTGGCGGCAGCTCCATTAGCCGCTTGGGTACTCGCAAATCTTCAATACGGTCAAATATTGGTACAAGTTGCTCCTCTAGAACGAGAACAACGTCAATTAGCAGAGTATGTTTATTAAATTTCTTAAATGAATTCTTCGATTTTTTTGCCTTCCGTATTTTTCCATTTTATCTGTGTCATCAATTTTTTTTTTCATTTTTCTATCTAATTTCGAATTTGTACTACTTACCTTTTAGATCTAATTACTTTACATTACTCGGTTTCATAATTCTTTTGTCACTTAAGTCGATTAGCGGCGGCTGAAGCACAGTTGGGAAAATTGGAAACGGGATTAAATACGGTGGAGAGCCGTGTGGCGCAGCTTCAGAAAGAGCTTGCCGAGCACACGAGAGGCGCAGCTGAATTACAGTTGCGAACCGAATCTGCAGAGGCCAGTCTATCGACAGCGCGTGCTCTGTTACGGAAACTCGATACTGAACATCGTGATTGGCAAACACAATTCCAAGAACTGACAGCCAGAAAAGAACGACTGGACGTTGAGGCAGCTAATGCAGCAGCTCTACTTGTATATCAGGTAACCAGTCTTTCTTTTAGATTTGCTAATGTAAAAAAATGCGACGTTATATTTTGGGACAATCAACTTTATTCTAAAATTTACATATTAACTAATATATTTTAAATACAAAAAGTTTAAATAACCTTATGTTTCAATGTTATAACTTGAATATTTAATTTAATTTTTTAAATATAAGAATATATCTAAATATTTATTTTTAATAATTGATCATAATAATAAATAAATAATAATTGATCCTTAAAGAGTTAATGATTTACTACGTTTCGATTGCACAGGATCCTGAGAGAGATGACAATTGGAAGAAATCAGCGACTAAGTTATTAGTGACCGAACGAGAGAGATTATTGTGGAGGGCACAGGGTTTACCAGCAGACACGAGCAGCTTAGTCGCGGCCTCCCGTGTTCTGAAAGGACCCTTAGTACCTATTTTCCTTGATCCTTCGGGAGTAGCAGTCATCTGGATCAAACGCAATTTTGGCACGCGACTCGAAATAACTCAGCCTGAAAATCCTAAATTTTTGACGGCTTTGGAGCTCGCTGTGCGTTTCGGGAAACCTCTTTTGGTTGAGGAAGTAGTTGAATTTCCATCGATACTTTTGCCCTTGCTTCGTCGAGGACCGCTTAGACTGGGCGATCGTATTTTGCCGGCTCAGGAAGGCTTTCAATTATTCCTGGCCACTAGGAAAGATCGATTAGAAGATATCCCGAAGGAAGCTGATGCTGTGTTGTGCGAGATCACGCTCGGTGCCGGTACGAAAAGCTTGGCAGAAAGATTTGTAGAGAAGGTAAAGAAAAGAATAAATAAATATATAATGCGATTATTTCTAATATCTTTATTCGATTTTTTTTGAATTATTATCGATTGTTTTATCAGCTTTTACTGAACGAAACACCAGAGCTCGAGGCGCAAAGAAGAGAAGCCTTGGAGAGGGAAGAAAGATTATCCGGAGAACGGGACGCGGCCAGGCTGGATGTGTTGAGTCAATTAGCTACAGCTAGAGGCCAAGATCTCTTACAAGAATCCCAAGAACAAGGAGGTCTTTTGTCTTCATTGGAAGCAACGCAAGCCAAGGCGAAAGAGATAGCGATCGCGCTTGAGGAAAGTAGACAAAGTTTGAACGAAGTTTCAAGGTATCGTCAGAATATTATTTTTATATTACAAACATTAATATTAATCCTTGTATTAACATTTGAAGGTAATGTTGTTTTTTGTTCTCTTTTTTAGGCGTGCCAAAAATCACGAAAAGTTTGCGCAGTTTGCTGCTAATGTTTATGAGACTATCAAAGGATTGACACTTCTCAGTTCTTTATACGTTATCTCCACAGAAGCCTATACCGATATCTGTTTGAAAGCGGTGCAAGATGACATTTCTTATACAAATGAAGACGGAAAGAAAGAATCGCGAGGTCTAATCGAGAAACGGTATGTATAACATGATCAATTAAATCGTGAAATGATATAAAGTCATCATGCTGTCTGTTGCGTCAGGTTGATAACTCTGACGTTCCACCATTGCGCGAAGGCGATCTACAGGAAGCACAGGCTTCCACTAGCGTTGCACATGGCGTTGTCATTAAATCCAGTGTCAGATGTCGAGAGGAATCTTTTATTCGACAGCGGCGCGATCTCCAATGTCGATAATTCTGACTTTGAATTACCCGAATGGATACCTGATGAACGACGTGAAGCTGTACAAGCCTTAGGTTCTTCTCTGCCCAATGTATGTACTCAATACGATATCTTTAGTAAACAGCCAAAAACTTTATTAAAGTGACTTCAGTACTTTCCATGAATAATTCGAGTTCTTAATAGATTTGAAATTTTGATGTCAATATTATTTCTTTTAAAGGTAGCCGTTAGGATGAAATCTTCTTGGCTGAACAATATTTCTGATATTTACGCGGATAACGGACTCAGTGCTTTTCAAAAAGTTTTGATCGTGAAGGCTTTGCGACCTGACTATTTGCACACCGCTCTTTCCAAATTGGCTGCAAAACAATTAGGCAAGTACCAGATAAAATGCGATAAAATTATTTTGAATTTCGTGTATATTCGAACATTTAAATATTCTTACAACTCTTACAATTTTTAAATTTATATACTCAAAGAATATACAAATTATTTCAAATCAAGGAAAACGAATAAGTCGAATATTACGTATAAACAGAATCTTTTATTACTTTTACTTCAGGAATAAACGTTAACATACGAGTATGCTTTAAGCTTTAAACAATTAATAAGTTTATTTTGAGATTTCGTTCAAAATATTATATTTATCAAATTATTACTGTTCACGTGATTCCTTTAAGCCGATTTAATTTTCAAATTTACCTACGAAAGGTGTGAAAGATTTGGCACCGCCGCTGTGGTCATTAAGTACGATCGTCCAGGAGAAAGCGGGATCATATGCTGTGTTATTACTTTTATCGCCGGGGACTGATCCTGGTCCCGAACTCAAGGTATTAGCTGAGAAATATACCTCTTCTGGATTTACCGAGGTTTCTCTGGGTCAAGGACATGTCACTCAAGCCGAATTAGCGTTGGAAACCGCGTGCAGGTAGAATCTCATAATTTCCAAAAGCATTGTGATGCAATATACATATGTAATATTACGAGTAAAGAAATTAAAAAATGCTTAATCTTGCCACTTTTATAATGCAAAATTTTTTATAAAATTGGAAATATGCGATTTGTGAAATAAATACACGGTCACCATTACTTTGTAGAAACGGTGGTTGGGTCTTGCTAAGCAATTTGCAGCTCGCTTTAAATTGGCTACCGCGACTAGAAAGTATGCTTCGCTCATCGATGTGTACCACAAACAAAAATTCCTCCACGAGGATCTGGCTGACTACGGAGGAGTGTTCCGGATTCTATCCGGGTTTGGCGGGGCTTTGTCTAAAACTGGCGTACGAACCGCCCGAAGGCGTGAAGAGGAACATGAGAAAATCGCTTCAGCAGTTGCGACAGTCGCAGCGTAATGGCGATGATGTCGCGGCCACTACATTAGTGCTCGCCTGGTTACATGCGACGCTTCAAGAAAGGCGAAACTTCGTTCCTCAAGGCTGGATCAGACCATACGAGTGGAACGAGTCGGATCTCGAAGCTGCCTACGAGTTAGTAGTGAAGAACGTGGCGAAGGAAAAACGATCTCAACGAGGTACGTGAAACATAAACATATATAAGTAATTTTGACATCTTATATGACGTTATGTACAGAAAATATATTGGCATGTAAAGGAGACTGGCAAATTGGCAGAGGTTTGCTCGACGTTGCGATTTATGGCGGACGGCTTCAAGATGACTATGACGCAAGGGCATTGCGCTCGATGATTCGTAACATATGGTCCAAAGACATTTTCGAGGGACGCCGGAAGCTGGGAGATGTGTTGAAAGTGACCGACACGATGGGCGATCCGGTAAAGTTACTGGAGATTATGGATGACGTCGATTCACCGAAAGAGTACTTTGGACTCCCTGCTAATGCTCATAGAGCATGGGAAAGAGCTGCTGCGGAAAAAGCTCTAACATACCTTAAAGGTATCTTTAAAGCTCAGATAAGTTAGAATCAAATAGTACATCTAGATTCGATTAGTATTTTCTTCTTATATTGAACCGTTCAAGTTTTCAAATATGCTTAAATTATTTTCAAGGTATCTTGATGAAGCCGTTAAACAACAGCGAAGGAAATAGCGATAAATTAGAGAAGTCAAAAGTTCAACACGATCTAAAAGTAGTTATGGACCGACAGTGTTCCTTGACATTCACATGTGATACAGGTGCCATAAGCGAACGGAAAGGAAATCCTTTACAGGACTTTTTCATCGACGAGATCGATCTTACGAAGAAGTTATTGCAGATCGTACAAACGGACATGGATGCGTCATCTTTTGAAGATAACGAGGTCAGATTTTGATTTTGAAAATTTCACTTTTTCATAGTTATTTTAGTACAACGATAATTATAATTATATGTATTTTTTCATAATAATGAAAATAATCATTTATAATTCAAGACTCCCAAGCACTGGTTTGTGGAATGGCGAACGGGCCCGAAAAACGCCGTTCAATTCGCGAAAGCGCTTTTATCCAACTACGAAGCACTAAAATCCTCGGCGATAAACATACCCAGTCGAGTCGATTTGTCCCAGTTGTCCCGACCACGAGCTCTTCTGACTGCCCTGAAGCAGCACACTGCACGAGAGCTCGGTTATCCATTGGAAACTCTTCATCTTCGCGCCAATTGGACCGAGAATCGTACGAACAAAGAGTGGAAGGTATCACTCCAGCTCGAAGGTTTACTTATATCAGGTAAGCTTGATTAATTGTCAGACTCGACAGAGTTTGATCCAGTATTCACAGTATTAAGTTTTCATTTGTTACGAGAGAAGCTGGAACTTAATCTGCGACTCACATCGACGTAATTAATTAACGAGAATCACACGTTTAAGAATTTTTGAAAATATTTGGATAATATCAAAAAGTCCAGAGTATCTTTAAACAAAAGAAAAATACGTTATGCTTACAGGAGCCTCGATCGAGGAAGGTGTCTTAAAGGATCTGGACGTAAATTCGGCAGCGGTCGCGGTTGCCCCGACATGCCAAGTAGCATTTATGCCGGAGGAATACTCGGACGATAAATCCGATGGTAATCTTTATGCTCTTGAAGATACTTATCGACAAGATTATTTGAACATACCAGTTTATACAAGTGTCCAACGGGAGGCTTTAATTTGTTCATTACCGATCATGTGCCCGCGAGAGGAATGCGACGCATGGTTACGCCGTGGCGTCATCCTGTATCTGAAATAAGTAGCTTTCGTAATTGTCCCCGATTAAACTGATAAAGATGAAGATACATGATACGTTTGCAAGTATTAGACGTTAAATCAGATCTATAACAAAAATAAACACAACAATCTTAATTATTGTTAAATATTAATTAGTAAAAATATAGATTTGTATTCACACATTTAATTTTGATAAGAAACATAAGTTCCTAATCTATATAATAGTTCTAAAGTATTTTGAACTTTTATTTATTTGATCGTTAAATATATTTACTTGTTAAATATAATTTAGATCAACTTCGTAGGTAAATAAATATTGTAATTGTCCCTGATTAAACTAACGAAAATGAAGGTACAAAATGATATGCAAATGGACGTTAAACCAAATTATTAACAGAAGCAAATATTTCGTAACTATTCAAATACTAGTCACTAAAACATTCACTTATATTTATTTATTTAAATAAAATTTATTTGTTTATTTAATCTTGATAAGAAACTTATGTTCCTAATTTGTGTGTAGTCCTAAAGTATTTTAAACTATTTATTTAGTTGTCGAAATATATTTATTTGTCAAATATAAATTTAATAAACTGATGAATCAACTTTGCATGCATAATTTTGTTCGATCGAATGAAAAGGCGAGGAGAAAAAGGGAAACAGTATACATGTATATATAAACACACTACATGTCAGCACATTGTGAATTGAACAATACGCTTATTATTATTAAAAATACATAGAGATATGTCGGGAATTTGTCGGGAGGTAAGTTTTCGCGAATTTTTCTACCGGTTTTGGAGTCGTTCTTTCCTTACGTTCCGTTGTTCTCGGAGAATGTCTCAAGAACAGTCCGGTAGCGCGAGTCATTTCGTTTAGTAGATTTAAAATTACGGATAATACAGCAATATCGTTTCGTTTTAATAAAATAAAATGGTCATTGGTTGGTCCATCCAAGCCCACGAGACTTATTGTTAGAAATTTATATAATGAGCACACGACGTTCTCCAAGTTCCTTGTAAAATTCATATGCTTGTAGAAAATAAAAGCTATCATTGTATCTTTACGAACTGGAAATATTGGCAACCGAAACTGTTCCTTTCAAAAATGTCTGAAGATACACGTTCGATGGAAGAACTAACAGGCGAATGGACAGAATCTCTTTCGATGAGTAATCTCTAGAATAGTTAAGAAATTCCGTAGAATATAGCCGTAATTCGAATCTATATGCTATTTAATATTTTCGTAACATTTTTAATACGACTGGACGACATTGTAGTTCTTTCGTACCGAGAGTTTCGAAGTACCGTAATTTGTTGATTTGAGATGAAACTCGAGATAGAAATATCCGTCCATTGTTATTCTCGTGCAAGAAATGATTTTGGACCGAAAGAAATTTACTTACTGAATGTATCTGTGTCTTATACATCTAATTGAAACTTATTTCCTACGAGCGATAGAAAAGAGAAATTTAATAGAATTAAGGCTCATTCTCGAGACGCTCTGTCGTCCAGTACAATCAAGTACAACGAACTTTAAAATACGAACACGGAATAACAAGATTCTATTATAATATCGATTATAAATTATCTATTCGTAAATTTTATGGGAAGAAAGGGAATGGAATTTTTTTAAGGATTTGGACTCCGTGTACACGAATAGTTTTCTTGCTTTAATTAATTATAATACTTTATCGTAAACTGAAAAATCACGTTAACTTGAGTATGCACACACCGAAAGAATCGTTTTCGTAAGTAAATAGCTTGAATATCTCAAAATTCAAATGTTATTTAAGAAGTTATGGAATTATTATCATGATCAGAGAAAATTTGAGAAAATTGTAAAAAGTGGAATAGAAAGATAGAGATACAGACAGAAGAAGAAAAAGAGAAGAAGTAAATATTTATATATATGTTTTATATATGATATATTTTAATTAATTTTAATTGATGTTTAATATATATATTTAAAAATTTTTTTATATTATATTTTAAC